TCTTGCACCTGGGTCGGGGCAATCCCCAACATCAGTACAGATGTGGGGATGAATGGATTGAGAGCAGCTCTGTAGAGAGGTCTTTGGGATATTGGGTGAAATACTGGGCATGAGCTGGCAGTGTGCATTCACAGCCCAGAGGGCCAACCGGGTTGCATCAAAAGGAGCATGGCCAGCAGGTTGAGGGAGGTGATTCTCCCCCTCTATTCTGCTGTCATTGAGACCCCTACCTGGAGTATTGCTTCCAGCTCTGGGGTCTGTGGACATGGTCCTCTTGGAGGGAGTCCAGATCGTATATTCATGTCCATATTTGTATGTTTAAATACAGATGTATAATTCAAGTTAATTCTTCAAATTTTACAAGGGATATTCAAAAGTGCCCAAAGACATAAGCACGAAGTGCTACTGGAATGGTTGGTTTCTCTGAAAATCCAATTTTTTCTTATTAGCTTAAAAACTCATAGCTGAAATATTACAGCTGCTAATGGTCATTCTCAAAACCCACAATACCATAAACCTTTATAAGACAACCCATTGTGGTATGTTTTATAAAGGTCATGTTTCACAGAAGTTACTTCAGAAGCATTTTGGAGAAAATGAATTTTGTGCTTACCTGAAGGCATATGACCTGAGTTCACCTGCACCAGACATTGTGGTTAATGGTATTTCTTTTAGGGTAAGTCTTGGAGTTAATAAAACTGCTTAGCAGTTTGGATTGGTGCTGTGTATTTACACTCTATTGAAAGTGATTTGTGTCTGAAGTTGACATTTTTCTTTATATTTTATATTTTAAAAATCGTTGAGACTTAGTGAATATTTGATGAAACTTCCTCCAGCATTTCTTAGTCTATGTGACTCTGACTTTCCCATTACCACGCCCTCTAAATCAGATAGTTTAAAACAGCAAAATGTTGAATCGTGGTATGTTAATAATACAGCACACTGAGCACATCTGTCAGGTTTTGAAAAACAGTTTGCATTGTTAAAATAGAGTTATGTTGCAAGATAGAGCATTACTGCAGTCTCTTCCCTTCTTCTGAGACACACGACACGTTCATATTTGTTGATTTTTCTCTACTATGTACATACCTCACATTGTTTTCTAATAGCATCTGAATCTTTCTGCTGTGCAATAGAAGCACCTTCTGCACCTTACTGTAATACTGAGAGACTCCAGTGAAACAAGGTTTTAGTTTTGTGGGAAAGTATCTTTCACTTTCCCCAGTTAGGCTCTCCAATAATTGCATGATTCTGTTGAACCACATCTGATTGACAACCAGGAAAATGCTGTAGTCTTCTTTCAAAAGCTGAATGAAGATACTTAGCTCTCAGGCAGGTGAGGTAAGACAGACCTCAGACTCACTGCCTTCAGGTTCCTCTGTTTGACTCTCATTTTGTGAACTCATTATGCAAATCCTCCACTTCATTAAAAATATGCTTGTACATGCTGACAGTGAGTCTTAAGAGGAATACATATTGTAACTTTGAGCACATGTGGGTTTTTAAGCTTTCATTATTTAATTTTCTCTGTAAATAAATTAGTTTTAAATTGGAAAAGCTTTCATTGCAGTGTGAAATTTTGCTAATGTGAATACGGAATGCTTATACAGCAAACTGAACTGCCAGCTTGCATGAAAACATATCATGTCTTTTGGATTTTAAAACTGTGGTGATAGATGTTGTAAAAGCCATGTGCCAGTCCATTTTTCTTGCGCAGTTTCACATTGTTGAGTATATGGAAGATCTCAGCACAACTTGAGCAGACAGAAGAAAAATCCATGTTTTTATTTCTCCTTCTTAGTTCACAGAAGTTGAAGAAGATGATTGGGATATATCATCAGTAGAAGATGACTTTTTATTGATGAAAGACAATAGAGGTCAGAAGGCATTGACAGTTCAGAAAAATGAGTCAAATGCTGCATCTACAGTACATGCATGGTGTGTTCCGAAGACAAGTGTACCAAAGGAGGAAGGTAACACATTTGTACTTCTACATTATAAGCCTTAAGAAACTGACACACCTAGAGAAGAACTCAAGTATAGTGTATTACACATTGTAATCCGATATATGGTATTTTGTAACAAATTAACAGGTAAGAACAACTGTGTGCTTGGTTTTATGTCATGTAAGTAATCATGTATGATACGTATGATACATACTTGTACGTAAGTATCACACCACAAATATAGAGAGATGCCAAGAAACTTAAATTTGAGATTTTAGAACATATAGTACCATCAGGTTTCAACCTCATCTTAAAAATTAAGTATCCTGAGGTTTTTTTAATCCCTTCCCAAATTTAAGAGAGGAGGCAAACATTCTCACTTTGTCTTGGTGATAATAATACTAAAATTTCAGGTTTGTTCAAGACCTACCAGGCTGAGATAAATACTTGAACTACAGGTAAAGGAATAGCCTCAACCTTCCATAGAACTTACATAGTAGTTTCTAGTGTTAACATTTCAATATATGTAAAGGTTAAAGCTGTGTCAGTTATATAAAGATACTTCAGGTTATTTTTAAAGGAAAAGTAATGTTGACACTGCCTGCCTGCTTGTACTGTGCATTGTATTCTGTGACAGAAACGGCCTTCACGTTGTCAACACTTGTAATTTCCTCACTGGTTGAAATTCTGAACTTCCTGAAGCCCACAGGTGTTTGCTCACATGGCATGTCATTTTATCTCGTAGATAAATACAAAGTAAAAATACCCCCTAAATAGTATTAATAACTGCTAATATTGTTTTATTATTTTAACAGGCCTTCATGAAGCTGATAACACAAGCACATTAAAAAGCAGCTTAGTCACTGTAACAGACTGGAGTGATTCTTCAGATGTATAATAGCTGTGTTCCTGATGGAAGGCACTCCTTTTGGGTTTGGTTGACATTGAAAATATAGCTGAAAACATCAAGTGCTTCTTATTCATTTCTTATATTGAACACATCATAACGAGGAGTACTCTTTACAGAGCTCTGGTGTCTCGCAGTCCTGAATTTGAAACAAGAATGCTCCTATACACATTACTGGCCATGTCTGTTTGGAAATTGAGAGTTAATTCTTCTTCTTTCTCGTGAATTCAATGGTGAAAGTCTCTTTCATGTCACTGAGGTGAATATTTTGCCTCTAATGTTTACATTAAAGATTGAAACTGGTCTTGCAAGAAAGCATGTTAGCCAATGAACAGAATTTACTGCAGAGTATTACTTTACAAAAATTTTAAATGCATATTTTCTTGTAGTTTATGATAAACTTTATATAAAATTGTGAACATTTTAAAGACAGTATTTCCATGTATTAAAATGTTACATTTCTACCATGGTTTACAATAAACACCAAATGGAAAGAAAAAAAAAAGGCCTCAGCTCTAAAACTAGTTATTATTGAATGGCTCGTATTTTGGGAATTTATTATTTTCATTTATTTGTTTGTTTATTTATTAGAGTTGGGTCTTAGTTTACATAAAAGTACAAACTTTGGGAAAGAAAAACAAACCAACACATGCAGCTAAGGTGAGGAAAGCACTGACCTGCCAGTGCGGAAGTATTTTCTTAGTTCTGTTTTGTTCATGTTGGCTGCCGCCTTAAAAAAACACTATAGTGTTTTGATTTAAATACAGAAATAGAGTAGAAGAGAAACGGTGGGCTTTGTAGTTCTGATGCATTTTAGATGGTGTCAGATACACACCCTTTTCTATCATACTGTGCCGTTACTAAATATGGCTATTAATTTTTTATATTTATACCTTTTTTCCAAAATAATGAATGCATTGAAACCCCAAGGGCCCCTCAGTTCAAACGTCAAGGCAGACCTGAGTTTGTATCTGGTTTTAAGGTCTCAGTCTAGAAAGCATTCTGGGGTTATCCATAATCTCTGCTCTCGTTTACTGACTCATGCAAATATTCCCTCAAAAGCCATCACATGCTGGTAGTCAGGTAAATAATAATGTACTAGCTGATTTTTTGAAGTGTTGTAACTAATTCAGGATAATCTAAAATAGTGGTGTTAAGTGTTGCCTGCTTTTATTTGGTCAGCCCTTGAGGAATGTCACTGGCGGAGCAGCTGGTATTGCCTGGGTTTTTCCTCCCCTTTCCTAACCGAGTGGCTTGGAGCCATCCTGAAGCCAAAGGTGTCCACTCTGCCCAGCCTGAAAAAACAAAACCAACTCCCCTGGAAGTGATTTTTCACCAGCAGAGGTGAGTGTTGAGGCAGGGCAGGAGTCCAGTGGCACAAAGCAGGTGCAAAATGTAGGAACCATCTCAGAGCCTTGGCTTGCCCACCATAAAATTCCCTGCTGGCTGCAGCCTCACGCAGCCGTTGCTTGCCCCACCAGACATGTGAAAGCTCACGATCACACATGCATCCTTCTCATGCCTACATTCTTCTTAGGCCATGCAAGACCCTCTTCAGCGACTGTTTTTCTAACAGCTGGCCCCGACTCTTCCTAATGCCTGCTCCTGCCTCCCCAAATCCCATACTTACTTTCACTTCATTCAGTCTCTTCCTGCTCCTGTGGCACCACATTGACCAAGTTACACATTCTTCCACCCCTACAGTATGACAAGGAGGTAAGAGCCTGCTGTTTCCCACCGACTGTGGTCAGCTGGCACTGCAGGTAGGATGTTTACATCTTAACCTGCACAGAGCGTGGCTGGTTTGTCCAGTACTGAACCCAGCACAGAAATGGCTGAAGTCAAAATGGTGCATGTGATGCCATTCCCATAAATAACTGACAAGCCAAATTGGTAAATACCTCATTTATTTTTATCAAGAATGCAACATCAGCTCATGATTTCCAGGTATAAACTTTACAATACCAACATCAATTGTAAAATATTATGTAATAAAATTTACACCAACATGTAAAAAGCTGCAAGTTAATGTTTTAAAAAGTCATTGTCTTAGTGGTAAGTACATTGGAGTGGGGGGTTGGGGAAATCACTCTGAATGAAACGTACAAATTCATCTTTAAAACACTCTGAATCTTCCCACAATACAGTTAAACATAAGCGTTCTTGTCAAAGTGCTTTGGTGTGGTTTTGTCTGGGATGCTGTTCTGGACCTTTGTACGAGCAGACATCACAGATGTGGCTCCATTATATGCATACCCCCTCCTGAAAAGAAAAGAGAATCAGCCATTTGCAGCTCATCCCACAGACAGGGAACATCTCTGCATCCAAGTGTTACAGTAACATAAGACTCGAAGAAAGGAAGAGGAATGTACTTCAACAATGATAAATCTCAGAGGAAGGGGAAGGGGGACACCTTCTTTCCCCGTGTAGTCTCATCCTGGTTTGACATTCCCACTCCAGCATCTCTTTTCAACTCACTTTTCTATAAATGCATATCCCTTGTTAACAGCTAAGTAAATTAGAGCCCAATCATGAAATATTTGGGCTGTGGCCGATCCTACTAAGTAGTTACTCCCTGCAGCTGTGGCTCTTCATTATCACCCTCCTTTGCTGCTGGAGGTCCTGCCGCCACCTCTGCTGTCCTTCACATCTCTCTTTTTTGATCTGATGATGTGGGATTAAAGAAACTTTTCTATTCACACCTGTGAAGTGACCTGACCACTTTTCCTACTTCACTGAATGCATTTTTTCCCAGCTGCAGTAAATTTATTAAGTATATGTAACACAAGTTCTTGTTTCAATGGGTTTCCTTATTTACATTAATGATGGACAGTGTGCTATCCTTAAATCCCATTAGTTTCTTACATCCACGCAATCTTTTTCTGACACTCACTACAAAGTGTTTTGGAAAAGTAATCAAACCATATACAAATAGTGGGTACAAATGTGCTAGTATTGATTTCTTTGGATAAGGACAACTTGTGTTTTACCTTGGAGAATTGCTGTTTTCAGCTATTGAGAAGCAGAATATACTGCCACCAATGATGCAGAGTGAAGCTCCAGCCCATCCAATGAACAAAGCTGCTCCTAATTCATACCTGCAGGAAGTTAGTAAGCGGGTTTAACAACAGAGAGCATGGATTTACCAGGGTTAGGGTTTTTTCCAGAATAAAAGAACTAAATTTTATTTGTTCCTGAATAATTTTCCATTGACGCACACATTATTCATTGCAAAATCAGCAGCTCTGCCACTCACCCACATTCTTTTCATTATTCCCCTCTTACTTGGGTAGCAAACTCTGTCCATGTGGTACATTCGGGTGATGCTTATCTCTGGGGTGCCTGGCTTTTCCACATCTCCTCCTGGATTGCTTGGCTGCAGCATTACATGATTCTTCAGTGCTTTTACAGCACACAGTCCCTGTCACCTTGGAACATTTCAGGTTTGTTCCTATTAGCTCTCAAACTGGACTGGGGCTTTGCTGGCCCTGCGACTAGAGCTGCTCTCAGCCAACAGCTCTCCTTAACTCTCCCCTCTGGCTTTCAGGATCTCTCCCCCTCCCTATCCACACTCACCGTGCTTAAAACATGGGTGTTTTGTACATACTTATATAATACGCATATGCAATATATATACACACACGTGTGATATATGCATATACATATATAGATGTCGCTGATATATGCATATACAGATGCATGCATACATGCACACATATGCAGATGTACATCTGTGCACACACGCACATGTGCACGTGCACATGCCAGCAACTCTCTGCTTATCTAGTCCCCGTGGCTGGGTTCTGGCTCCCCTCCGAGCCCTTGGGCACGGCTCCAGGTCACCAGCAGCCATCCCTTCTGCTGCCAGGGCAGCCGCAAGTTGTTTGCAGCCAGAAACTGCTCAGTTTGAGACCAACAAGAGATGGTGGTGCTTTAGGAGCATTGTCACACAAGTGTAAGTCCAAGTGTCTAACAGTAGGAAATGAAGCAAAAGAAGGGCATGGGGATGAGATTCTTCCTTTTTCTTTGCTCAGCACCCATAACCTGAGCTCTGGAACTTCAAGACAAGCAGAAAACCATTGGCTGCCACTTGTCTAGTCCATTCCCCAGCTCTTTGCCTGAGGTACCGCTCTTTAAAACACTTTCAGGATGGCCTGCATTAGCGTGCAGGCCCAGCAGTCTCCAGAGCCCTTTATTGCTCACTGTTAGGACAGACCATGTGTCTCTTGCTCCTTCTTCTCTGCTCCAGTTCCTCCTTGAGGAAACCTTTATCTCCTCCTGACTCCTGGCATCCTGCACTGAAAACACAGGTCCCTGTCCCCAGTCCAGCCAGTTCCTGGGCAGGTGCCTGCTCTGTTAGTTAGTAGCCTTTGTTAGTAAGTCTGTTTGTTTGTTTATTGTAAGCTCTGGCAAGGCAGCCGAGTGAAAGCCTCTGCTTGACAGCCTGCCTGTACAACTGAACGACTGTTCACAGTGCAGTTGCACACTTTTCAGCTAGTTCGGAACACTTCCATGTGAACAGACCCTAATTTCACGTCAGCCAAAATACGTAACTGGAAGCACCTGTAAGCTGTTCTACAAAACTTCTGTCTTCACAAAGATGACACTGCAGAAACACTCAAAAATTGCCTGTGAGCGTAGACACCCAGAAAATGATCTATCTTACTCTTCTGTAATAGGTCACAAGAGGGTGAACACTGGCTGGAGAAGAAAAAAATTGCTTTTCCATGTTTTCTGAGAGTCTAACCAAAGGGAAAGCTTTAAAAAACCAAAAAGGCACACAGTGAAAAAAAGCCATACTTAGGATACCAGTCCTAGATGCTACGAACATCCAGGTTCAAGTCATTTCTGACTCAAGGGCTTACTGCCAAAATGAGATGGAGCTCAGACATAGGACATTTCATTTTCTGTCCACATCATTCAAGCCGTGTAGATGAGACCCTCGGTGACATGGTTTAGTGCTGGTCTTGGCAGTCCTGGGGTAATGGTAAGTTTTTTCCAACCTAGTTGATTCTATGATTCTAAGCAGACTTTTTGTTTATCATCCCTTGCTAAAAAAAGGATCAGATTTCCCCAATCATTCTCCATACCCAGCATGGGATTTGACTTTGGTACCCAACCCCCAGATTAAACCATAACTCAGTTGCCTTGCACCCTGGAAAACTCTGCACCCAGCCTCTTTTGATCTGGTAATCTTCCAAACCTGTACAGCTTTAATTCTAACTATTCTCACCCTTCCAGCTATGGTTTTCACAAGACTTGATCAAATTTCGCTCTGCTCAAGGACTGGGGGTTCTCTGATGAGAAGCAGGTATCTACATCAGAGCTCATCACCTAGGATCCTGTTACAGTCGACATGCAAGAAATACACAAAAGTACACTTCTAAAACACCTCAAGGCACCTGTTTTAACAAGCTATAAAGGCAGATCAGAGTGACTAACTCCAATGTGAGGTAAGCCTCAGCCTGAGGACACTTCCACCCCCTCAGGTACTGCCAGAGCACCCCTAAAGCACATGGACCACGGTTAGGCTCCCCACACAAAAGTCAGCACAGCCCACTGCAGTGCTGGAGAACGTATCTGGACTAAGATTCAGTAAGGTTGTTGCTGTAACAACTTGCTTGCCAAGACCATTTGCCTAGAAGCTGGGAAACACAAGATCATTTCCACATTTCCATCTAACAACATTGAACGATTGGCCTGACGCTAAAGTAGGAGGCTAAGGAGACAAACTGCCATCTCCCCTCCTGAAGCTCTTCAGCTGTACAGAAAGGAAATCAAGATTACATTGCATTTAATTGGGTAGAAAAGGGTTACCTGACTGTTGCCTACTAGTTGGGAAAGAAGACACAGGGCCCTGCCTTTGTTCTTATGATTGTTTCTACTTTTTAAGCAACGTTTGTTACTATATATATATATATTTGT